CTTATTATATATATATATATATATATATATATATATATATATATAAACAAGATGTAATATCCACAATAATATTGTCTCAATAATATTTGTTCTTGAAACTCTAAGTTGCCCATTGTATTGAGACTCACATTTCTACCAGTGTCCATTAATTTTACTTTGCTTTATTCTTTATCGCTTCTCAGAACTATAAAAAATAAGTAAATCAAACCGGGATTAAAGTTAATCAACGTTACTAAAGGTAATGGAGCAAAAAATGAACGCTGAATAGAGAGAACGTTATCCTCATGGAGGAGGAAGAAAAGAAAAAAATATGTCGTTTTCGTTCGTGAGAGGAAACGGATGTACGCATACGCACACGTCCACAAGCGATATTTTTCCCTCGATCATCGAGTCGCCGTGTTTCCGCGAGCGACGCAGAGAAAGCTGCTCGCGAATCCAATTATCGTATTCTTTGTGTTCATGTTGCGTCGTGCCGTAGCGTGCCGAGGACATCCGATCGGGAGAAACATCGGTATTCGACCTCGAAGGCGATCGCGCGACGACGGGGTCGGCTGTGTCACGTTATTGCAAAAACGATCCCACAAGCCATAGCCACGTCGACGAGCGAAAAAGACTCATTTTTTTCACGGTTGAATATTTTTTCGTTCCTCTTACATCTGTCTCTGCCAATGTAAATTAACTGTAATCTCAATTTAATTTATTTTGTATCTTCTTTTCAGTTCTTAGAAAAATATAAGGAATATATATTAAAACAAGATTAAAGAAGAATTTACATTAGAAATGGATATCGTATACGTTTCCTTTTCTTTTGATTATATACTTATATATCTTATTTTAATTGTAAAAATTTTGTTATTCCGTGTATTAGTTAACATTATTTTGCATACTATTAGTAGTTTTAAAATCAAGTTTTAATTTGATTCAGTGATTTAAAATGAAAAGGGAAATATATTTGTACATATTTATATTATATTTAAGTGAATATTTTTACATTCCCAAATATTTATTTAAACAATTTGTTTTTTTCTTTTATTCAAGTATAATATAGCACAGTTGTAAAGAATAAATTTCTTATATCAAAAAAAATTTTAACTAAGGTTGATGTTAATCCGCTTGACATCAGGTTATTCCACAAAATTATCTTATATTTCGATAAAACGCATGTAAATCTGATTGTTTCGAATATGTGTACGTGAACTTGCGAATAATTTGCAAAACGTACAGTTAATCTGTAGGAAAAAGAGAATAGAAAATGAAATGTGATATAGTAACTGTAAACAGGCTTACATCATGAAAAAGTTTATCACTGGTTAGTCATATGTGATAATTTATTTGATCCATGTGGGAATTTTTAGCGAGACGATTCTCAGATGTTCTCTTCTGAGTATACTGCATTTATTTTTATGAATCATTTTCAATATGAAGTATATGACTATTGATACAACAGAATCTCTATACAAGAGATTAATGAAGAATTTTATAATATAATTTCATTTTATTGTTATGAAAAATTGAAATTAAATGAATTAAAAAATGAAAGATATTTATTAGTTTGTTCATTTCTATTGTTGCAATTGATAACTAAATTATCACATAAAACAAAAAATTGTAGAGAGATTTAACTGAGCAACATACATAATCATATGTCTTGAAATATAAAAAATTAAAGATACATAATTTTAAGAAGAACATATTAATAAGGACCGAATATATTTTTTTAGGGAGAGGAAGCAAAGAAGAAATTGAACAGTTACTTCGTAAATCTATCATTACCGAAGTGGCGGCCGAACAAAGTTCCAATATGAGGGGTTCTAAAAGAGACTGGATTTTTAGAATTCAGGTAGAATTTATGTTGAATGTTTTTTCTTTAATATACTTGTATAGATATTTCAATAAAAAACAAATATTTTATTCTGCATTTACATTTATGATTGTAATATGTTTTTAATCAAAAGGTATCCAACCTGGAAAAAAATGAAGTTGTTTATGTGGTTGGAAATCTACCTGAGTTGGGTGCCTGGAATCACAATCAGGCCATCCTAATGTCACAAGAACATAACAACCGGAGAGAGTCTCCTATATTATTGGATAACAGCAGCGGGGATTTCTATAGCGATGATGGAGACAATGCAGCGGATGGCATATTTGAAGAGTAAATATATACATAAAAAATATTATTTTTTTTAATCACGGAAATGATATAAACTCTTTTCTTATATATATTTTCTTTCTTCTTTCTTTATTTAAAGAAAAATGTATATTAGTCATTTCATATATTAATGATTAGCATTAAACGTTATTCATAATTTAAAAAGAAATCAATTTTTATAATTTGATATAAAAAGGAAATATACTTATATATTTCTATTTAAATAAATATTTTTATTTTTACGAATATTTAAAGCATTTATTTTTTCTTTTCTTCGAGTCATATAAATATTAGTATGTTTATTATGCTTACATTATGTATTACAATGCAAATATATTTCAGAGATGGACAAATATTCTCACAAAAGGTTGCTCTTCCCATCGACGCTAATATCGAATTTCGATATTTTATAGCTGTCATTTGCCAATCGAACGGCACTAAAAATTCGGCCAAAACTTTAATTATCCGCAGATGGGAAACTCATATGACACCACGTTTAATTAGTAGAAATAGTACGTTTCTATTAATATCTTTATGATGGTACTTTAGATATCAAATTTATATTGCAAACTTAAAGAGATTTAAGTTTTATTATGAATTATAATCGAGTAATCTATTTTGCAGCACCAAGCAATTTTGACAGTGATACTTTGCCAGATCCTGACAAATTTGGCTATCATAATAATTATAGCAAAATTGAACGAGGTTGGCTGACAGATGAAACTGTGATACAATTTAAACTTTTTAACAATGCTATTAAATTCTGGAAGAACCGGCTACAAAACAAAAAAGTTCATATTAAGGTATAATTTATTCTATATCTCCATTTTTTTAATTTTCTTTTTTTTTCTTATACATTTTAATCTTAAAATAGAAAATCGATAAAGTGATCATTTTCAAGATGATATTAAATATTTTTTTCCACAAAATTTTATTTTTAAAACATATAATAACTTATTTTTTATTTATGTTACAGATGACACCTGTAAATCTAGTTAAACATAATTCTTTAGAACTACAGCAGTTTGGAGGTGACTGTATAGATGATAGTCTTTCTATGGATACACAAGATATTGTTGATCAACCCGCTTTTACCAGTATTACAGAAATAGCTGTAGGTGACAATTTCAAATATCTTACTATATCAGTATTACGAATAAAATCAAACAATTGCTCATGTGTATTTCCAGGTGATGAATGATGAAGAGGCTAGATTCACGTTCCAGGAACAATTCGGCCGCCCTTACAATGAAGACGAATTTTTAATCTTCAATGTTGCCGTTCGGTATCCTGAAACAATCGTAAGTTTCCATGTAGATAGTTTCATCACAAGGCATCATGTTATATACACAATTATGTGAGAAGCTGGGATTTATTGCTTGCATTGCTTGCGATTTTAGTAATTATATTTGGTATGCAATTTCCTCCATTCTTCAACTATCAGTTCGTAATTTCATACAATCATTGCTTTTTCGATATTCGCAATATTTCCGATATGTCACAACGAAATAAAAAAAATACACTGGCATTCTCCTTATTTGATCTTTGCCACAAAATTATTTACACATGCTGAAATTTTTGGAGAAGCCATGTGCAATATGATTGGTGAACAAAAAAATCGTTGGCACGGCAGAGCAATAAATTACTGGTTAGTGATGTGATTCACAAAACGAGCTGAGCACACTAAGAATACGCATTGACCATATCATATGAGTTTTCAGTAGACCACGAGTAGGCTGGCCACGTCTCCTCGCGCAACTTGTACGAATTACTTGGTAAACGATAATTAAACTTGTCCAGCAGCTATCTCCCTCCTCGGAAATGCCAGCAGCGACGGTGATCGCGCGGTGTCCGGTCCCGAGGAACACGAAGACGACCTGTTCAACTTGTACAAAAGCAAGACCTCTGGTGCAAATGATGATGCTAACATGCAATCTGATGTATCGATGCTAAGCATCGTCTACCACTTTACATCTGTGTCACATGACATCACACAGAGATATGATGGTTTTGATTGTCGTTTACCTTACTAGACCCATCCTTCGGCTGGCCTCTCGTAAATCGTCTCGTGCTTTTTGTTCTTTGTCAAAACTGTATATTGATGGATGAACAACAACAAATTATTGCGTTTGTTTGAACATTAAAACCTTGTTTTGTTACGTTATGTTTATATAACCATGTCTTGTCGATTTACGCGAGTTACAGCCATTCCGTAAACTCCTAAAAATGTTGCGATATCAACGCTATCACATCTCATATCCATCTGTGTGCGTCGAAAATGGTGAGATTCCCATCACTCCTATACCCTTTTAGTATATTACTAATATTTTCTAGCTCTGACCGACTTCTTCTGTACCGTACGTGTCACCGCAGTGCGGCCAATGCCAGAATCTATGCTGTCAGAATCTTCTGAATCTGAATTGCAAACGTTGCTGACTTGCTCTTTCTAATCTTTTTATCTTTATTTCGCTCTCTCGAAATTTAACATTGAATGGTCTCGGCAGGTGTTGCGGAATACGCGTCACCAGGCAGTATACAACGTTTAGCAATTATTGATCCGATTCATTATTAGATTACCAGAAATTTGTTGCTCTTGCCTACCAACGATTCAACTTTCAAAATTTCTACGCCGGAAGCTTCAGGCAACTTAGTTCATTTAGTAGGATATGTGCTGAAGGAATATTCGCGAGATAATATCTTGTTGCCGAACAAATTCTAAAACAATACAAATCGTTTGTTGTGGCAAAGAAAGAAACAAAATTCTTAGTTCGAAAACTGAATTATCATTTGCCTGTCTTTAATAGAACGTAATTAATATTGAAGCGAAAAATGGATGAGCTAAAATTATATTGAAAGAAACATATTGGTGTTGTTCAAAATGTTAGGGTTTTTTCGATGAAACATTAAGTAGATTGTTTTTTCAGGGATACTTAGTGGACTACTACGTGTACAGCTCAAGGGGTTTCCCAGGAGAACCACCAAATCACATCGGTTTCAGCTACATCTTGCCGTGTGCTTTGCAACCGAGCGTCGGCCTTCTGACCGTACCAATTACCAGTACAAAACATAGACCTATTGGTAAATACTTATATTATAATTATATTACAACTTATATTATTACTTATATTATAATTATATTATAATATAATATTTATATTATAATTATTATAAATATTATTAAATATTTGGTATCATGATTAAAAAGTATGTTTGAACATATTTAAACTTTATAACGTATATAAATACGTATATAACAAACCATAAGATAATAACATAGTTCATTAACATAGGTCAAAATTTACCGAGGAATAAACGATTGAAATTAAAAAGTTAATTGATTAAATTGTATTTATATCTACATACAAAAAAAAATAAATAGTTTCATTTATGTTATTTTCTTATGTTATTTTCTTTGTCTTATATTATAGGTCAATTGACAGTAGAATACGTTGTCATAAAACCAATACCAGATCACCCATGGGACATGAACATTTCTTACGCGAAGCATTGGGAGCAGCGTTGGTCAGGCTTAGATGTAGGACACAGAGGACTTGGCACATCTTTCAAATTTGAAACAAAA